AATTCTCACTTCATCGCATCATTTTGGCTCATCAAGCCTTCTATCCCTCCGGGGTCGGCAACTTGGTAACAGACTTGTCTGGAGGCTAGCAACACTGGCTCGATATCAATCTCAACCTTTTTATTTACTGCCTATTCTTTTTAGCGGCAGGATATGTTGCGAAATATAACTTCCATAATGCTGAAATATTTGCAAAACTCCGGACCGCAGGTGTCTGCGGTGGTGTACGAACGCACTGTTGTCCTTTCCTGGGAGTAACGCGTTCACCACCACACTATGCGAGTCCTTCCTTTCGCCTGTTTCTCAACTCGATAGAGTCGATAGTACTAGCTGAGAGACAGCCAAAGCGGACCCGCATGGTGTGGTGATGAACGCGTTACTCCCCAGAAAGAACGATAGCGCGTTCGTTCCCCACCGCAGACATCTGCGGTCCGGATTTCTGTAAACTAGCTCGATACATCGGTAAGCCATCACGAGTCGTTGTAAAGGCCAGATATGCATTCAATCACCATCGTTGATGCTTAATGAAATCGAATGCATGGCGCATCCTTCAGAGATTGATCAACGCCGAGAGCTTTATCTTTTAGTTTTTAAATGCACTTACACATTGTCGTGTAGAATTGGTGTAATTAATTCGCTCATGCAATCGCAATACATTCATTGGTTTGGTTACACATTCGTAGCATTATTTACATGCAAAGATTTAAATGCTAAAGTTTGAGGTCTGCGCTGTGGAACCACGCAAGGTATGAGAGGCACCGACACAACTTGCAAAACGAGTTACACACCAAATCCGACAGTGAAACAAATCACCAAGAGGCTTAACTATTCAGCTCAGTAACAAATCCCAAATTTGGAGCTCAACTGAATTCCGAAACGCAGCCGGCGTCAAAAAGCAAGACATCCAGAGGCCACTAAACCACAGGCGAATAGTACAGCGCAAATGAGCGGTCGGCAAAGAATGCACGATGATTGGTCATCAACGCACTGTAGCATGTCATGTATACCCTGTAGGTGTGCCTTATCAAGAGATTCGTCAATAACTTCTTTTCATTCTGGACCACATGAACAAGAAGATCGCTGTTTCCTTGTGTGGCAACCTCTCAACACTCAGTACTTGATTTTCGATTCTTGCATTATACCATGCAATCAACACTGTGTCTTCTTCTCAATCTTATAGCTTGCAGCTTTCGAAAACATTGCGTGCCTTAATTAAATTAAATTTCTTTAATTTTTTTTACTGCTACTACCTAAGGAGTTCCAAACTTGGCCGTGGTGGGTCGTTCTTAACGATTCATTCAATTGTATACTTTTGAGTGAAGAATAGAATTTTTTTAAATTAGACCTTTCACGGCGATTTTCAATCAATTTCAGCTTTCCCACTTTTTGCGAAAGCATGGAATGAACTGGTGGCAATTCTCATCGCGGTTTTCGCTAACGGCACTTTCCGGAAGCCGATGGTCGCAGTTACACCATCTTCGCTTTGCTGATGACATCGTCCTTATAACACCAAACATTAGCCAAGCGGAATGTATACATGCCGACTTTGATAGAGCCTGGGGAAAGACTGGTCTTCGACTAAGTCTCACAAAAACGATGTTCATTAGGAACGGATTGGTTTCGTATGCTCCATTCACGCTCAACGGAACGAACATCTCCGGATGTTCGACTTATGTCTACCTAGGTCGTGAAATCAACATGTTCAACGACTTAGCTCCAAAGTTGAGCAGAAAGAAACAAGCGTCTTTGGGAGCTTTCAAGAGCATCGAGGATGTACTGAAGAGAACAAAGAACACCTGATTCCGTGCCCACCTTTTCGACTCAACGGTACTTTCTGCTCTAACGTTTGCGTCAGAAACCTGGTCGTTGCGTAAGCAGGATGAATGATCACTCAGCGTTATCGAACGCGCAGTCGAAAGGATGCTAGGAGTATCCCCTTCCACACAAGTAAGGGATGGGATTCGAAACTCCGATCTGCGTCAACGATAAAAATTCAAAGATGCCGTTCTGTACGCCAAACAGTCGAAGATGAGGTGGGCCGGACACGTAATGCGTATGAATGACAACCGATGGACAAGAGCCCTTAGTAACTGGATTCCTCGAGATGTCAAACGTAGTGCAGGAAGACCACCGACCCGACGGTCAGAGTTCTTCACAAAAACCGTTGAAGAAAAATATGATGCTCGACGAGTCCTTAGAGCGAGCAGAATCCACTGGGCTACTCTTGCACGCGACAGGGAAAAATGGAAGATTTACTGGCACCCACTCGGGTCACTCGGCGATCAAGGGGACTGCAGGTGATACAGGTGAACGTTTCTGCGCCATCGCCTATTCAGAAAGTATTAACCATCGTGCATTCTTGCGATGTAGGTCTTCGTAGTCATATGAAGTTCAACCGAATTCAATTCGAAGTGACACCAATAAGGTGCTGGCACGAGGCAATGCGACTTTTTAATGAATGGTTCTCCTTCTATACTCTTTCATGGTGAGAATGCATCGGGTGATAGTCAGATTAAAGTTAGCTGGAATATACTGATTCTGGGATATTTGCAAACAGGCGAGGGGCAAAACGAAGAAAGCGCATGGTGTTGTGGTGAACGCGTTAACCCCCGAAAATGGCAACAACGTGTTCAATCCCTATCGCAGACACCTGCCGGCCGGTGTTTTGCAAATTTTATAGCGTCATTGTGATTGGTTTCGCATAACACTATTCCGTGAAATTTGCAGTTCTTAGTAAATAAAAACGATAACAATATGTATTCTTTCGTTGATAAGCCTACAGAGGTTAGAATGTTTATGTTTATGTTTATTTACGGCTGACTTTTCGACGGTAACGTCTTCGTCAGGGAGCCGATGATCAGAGTCGGTGGTCCACAGTTGTTCGTGTTCTCGAGGTGGCGTCTTCTTCGCGTATCGAACCGGGCCTTCCTCAGTGGAGCATCTCTTTCGAATGAACCATACTCATTACTCATACATACCCAAAAAAGGTTAACATTGTGAAGTCGAATTTAGTTAGCATATAGTAGATCAATACTTTCAGAGCGCGCATAATAAAATACTGAAATAAAATAAAACTGACCAGACTGTAATGACCAATACTATAGTTTGTTAGCAAGCATAGGCGACACTGCTATGCAAATGTTCCTGCGATGATGAACTCAACACGACTCGATTCGATGTGACTATGAAGACTCACATATCGAAAAGAATAGCTGATATGAAAAACGTAATTTAATCATTATGCCTCTGAAAAAGGCGGTAGCGTCAAAACATTACCCCCGGTAAAGTTTTATAACAATATCTAGCAGGGCAGTTAGGAAGTGGATAGTTCAGTGTTAGTGATGTAGGTCGTCATAAATACGTTTCTGGTTCGACGGAGCACCAGGATAACAAAGCCTGTCATGCCTCCGGTGTCTGGAATTTTGTATCCGACCTATCTGCGGAGCGTTCAGTCGTTCCAGTCTAGGTGAAAACGTTGTAGCACGGATATCTTAGGATGTCAGGGAGATTCAATTCGACCAGCATTCAAAGACATTTATTTCGAAAGGAAAATCATTGAGTGGCAGCCAAAACAACATATAAAAATTCGAGAAATTTCGAACACGATGGCCGCGAGGCAAGGAAACCAGTGCAAGAAGTGTTGGGATCTGCACGGCAATTGTGAATACGGCTTGTGTAAAGTAAATTTCAAAAAACCTCTCAAAGGTTTACCGCCTCATCGTGGCTGTGAGGTGTTCCTGGGTGTCGGACTGCGATGTACAGCAGGGAGATTCGTCCAGCCAGCAGGGTCTCCCAAGCTGAAAGGGAGTCCGGCGTTTTCATCAAGAAGCCTAGCTAAGAGTAAACCAATACCAAGATCCACCACCGTTCTGGCATCAAAGTCACATGGTAGCAAATCTCCCTCTGATCCACAAGGGTTACGAGTGCCTATCGTGGTGACGACCTGGGGCAGACTTTGGCCAGGCTGTCCTCGGGATTCCAGGGAACTACAAGGGCTAAACCAGCAAATCTCCGAAATGGTGATTATGCTGGGCCCCGCACAACTAGGGAGAATGGACCGTTCAAGTATCAAGTAAGTAAGTAAATTTCAAAAAAGCAATGGCATGCAGCCCCATCGACAAACTACGGACCTTGTCGTGACGCCTTGTTATTTGGCTTTTTGAAATGAAACGCAGCGTCGTAGGAAGCACAAAGGAGAAAAAAAGGGCGAAATTTCAAATATAGGAAGGGAAATGAAAACGGTGCACAGAACTGCTATCACGAGTTAACGATCTGTTTTCACCAAGAATAACAAGTTTTATTCACCCGCACCTTTAATAACATATGCACGTGTTGTCTCAGAAAGAACTTTGCTTGAGGTCGATAAGAAAGTTCGAACGAATTTGAGATAATATGTAAATGCTACTACTCAGAGGTAAGCGTTGGAAAGAAGAGGAAGATTGAAGCATGTAAGGTATGAATTGTGTGATTTAGCTACCCCTCAGTATAAGAATTTCAAAACATTATTGCACACTGTTCATCAGAGCCTTGCTTTCTTCGGAAGTAGAACTACGCAGGCACACCTTTGTTTAAGTGGAAGCGTGCACAGACGCTTCCAAGAGAGTCGTGGCTTCTATTGTATACCGACAACGATCTCAAAACTCGAATAGGGGAAGTTTTATGCGAACTGAATCATGTAACAGTCATATAAAAAGCGGTGCGGCGTTCAACAAAATACTCTGCTGAGCACCCAAACTACAAGTACGCGTAAGCTTCGTTTTTTGTCTGTTAAATATGCTAGAGAGTTATAACTGTGGCCAATTTTGACGTTTTCTCATCAAATAGAGTACTGCTTAACAATTTGATGAGAATATAGGAATATCAGCACCAGGTGTTTTTGATTGACACAAAGGTGCGTGGCCTATCTCAGCCAATTTTATACCCAAATAAACTTGATTTTTTAAAAAGCTTCAGAGCTTCGATTATAAATTTGTCTAATTTGATGCTAACAGGCAAGAGTTATGAAGCTTCTCGTGGTTATTCCCGTTTTTCTTCTAGTGTCTACAGACGCGTTCCTCTTCGGAAACGTTGGATGTGGATGGTTCGTCCGCTTTCCTATGCAGCCTAATTTCCATTATTTTACTAATTTTACCAGTTTTCTTTTATCAAGGTCACCAAAGTACTAAAAATAAGCAAATAGCCTTATGTTTAAATGACTCATATTTAAATTTCAGTTTCCCTCAACCAACGTCATGTGATGGTTATGTAACACCCAAACCGTATTATCCTGTGCCACCTAAACCATATTATCCAGAACCACCGAAGTCCTATTATCCAGAGCCAGCGAAGTCCTATTATCCAGAGCCAGCGAAGTCCTATTATATGGAACCAGCAAAACCTTACAACCCGGAAAGAGCGAAGCCCTACTATGAAGAACCACCTAGGCCGTATTACACACCTGCACCATATTACGTTCCTTCTCCTGGTGAGTTTATGGTGTCTAAAAAATCTAAAGAATTGCATTTTTCTTAAATACAAAACATTGAGACACGAAAACAATTATTCTAGTGCTGTTTCGCCTTTTATCTATTTATTTCGTTGTTTATTTACTATCTTATTGTTTCAAATTTTGCAATTATTTTCTTGAAATTCTTTCCACTCAAGAAAATACATAACATAACAAAGTGTGCTGCAATTTTTACTTGTTCTCGATTTGCCCAAAACTATCGACATTTGTTTTTTAGATCCAAATAGCTTCCCTGTTGACCAACGGCAAGAACAGCAACAACGACCTCAGCAACAACAACAGCAACAACAGCCACAACAACAGGAGCAGCAGCAAGAACAACAGCAGCAGCAACAGCAAGAACAACAGCCACAACAGCAGCAGGAACAACAGCAACAGCCACAACAACAAGAAGAACAGCGAGAACAAGAACAACAGAAAGACTGAAAGTTTATAACGTCAACAATGCTTGTAGATGGATTTTCCTTTACTTCAACTATCAAGCCGATTTTCACGTGCAACGCGTTATACGAACACGTCCGACCGTCCTTTCTGCCTTTTCTGTGGAGAGTGATTTCACTCTTGAGGTTCACTTTAATGCTCTCGTTTACCTCTCCTCTCCTCTTCTCTTTTCATATGTGACCAGCTCATCGATGTCGATTTTTTTCGATTCACTAAACATGACCTTTTCGTTGTTTCTTTGGCTGCGCACCCAAAAGTGTTTCTTCCATAAGCTACTCATATTTATTGAATTTTCCTGCAATAAACACAGAATTTCATATGACTATGCACAAAATTACGTGAGCCTACTGACCCAGAATGCTATTTATTACCAGTCAAACAACTTGTACTTTCGTTTTTCGTAATTCGTACTCGATTCGTATTCGTATATTTACAGTATTCGTACTATACGAGTACCGCAAATAGTCTATGGACCGCTATTTATTCAAGGGAAGAAGGACATCACATTTTTTCATACAAAGCTCTCAATTCACAATGTTTCTAGGAGGTGGAAACCACGGTTAAAAAGCGAGCTTGTAGCACGTTTCCCTTTAGCTCATTCAAGTGAAAATATTGAACAGCTTCTTGCGTTAACCGATATAAATTTTAGAACACCGTAGTGGCTCCCAATTTTAACAGCATCACTACTATTGCCACTCTTCACCGTTTCAGAAAGAAACGAAGTTATATTTAAATCTTTAAAAACCCTCACTGCTATGCTTTGCTGAAAGCGATTACGAATAGCCTCTCATACTGTTTCATCATTAAACGTCAGGATTTCGTTTGAATCGATGCATAGAGCACAATTCGCGTCACACGCCAACGTCTTAACAAGCATTTGCATGATAAATGCCTTCTTAGAGGTAGAATGTATTGCTCACCTTCGCGTTGCTTCAATCATGCCATGGTAGTCATCATCTATAGAGATGATCTGCTTCACGTCTGAGCTTGGCCGATGTTTGAGAGGCTTTCAACTTCTGCCCTGATTGACATGTTGGGCATTCTTTCACATGGCCCGGTGTCACATATTGTGCGTATTCCAACACTCTTGGCACTTGATTCGTTTTCACGCATCTATAACCTCCAAAAGCCTCTTTGGATGTGTGTGAGTTCGATTGCTGCTTGAGGTCTTACCGCCTGTTTTACCAATCTCGTTGAATTCCGGTCGCGTCGATTTTTACTAGATTGCTAAGAAAATTAGGCTAGAGCGTTTCCACTTGAATAGAAGACAGTGAACTTTTCGCATAAAATTCTGGCAGCAGTTTCCCGAGTCCGAGGAGTGAGGAGGTGGTGAGCCGGGGTTCCGTCGAACCGGCACCGTGAACCATTTTGGAATATTACGAAATAAACTGATACATCAGATGATAAAGAGATACCTAAACAGATACGCACTACTAAGGAAACAGAGACCAACAGCATTTCACGAAATCAGTACCGCTCACGGCTTATTGAAACGAGTTCATTGACCAGTACTTCGGAAGGCTTATCACAGTTACACCGTTTCTAGTCGGTTTAACGAATCACAAATATTCAATGAATATAAGGGTGTGAAAAATATCGAGATATGCACGGTATTAGTTGCAAAACACTTCCAAATGCTGGCATTCGCATGCTTCTTTGAAGGGCTATGTTAACACATAGCAAACTATGGGAAGCAGAGCACTCATAGAATGATAAACTTTCGTCTACAGTCCTATTATGTTTTTACCGTTTAATTCGTCCAGTAATTCAAAATTTGTCATCTATTGGCGGAAAACAGGCAAGTCCATAAGAACTGGAAATTAGGTATCGATCCCAACGGCAGGGACGCTAAAAATCGCACGGGTGTTGTGTAGAAATATTCTGTCGATGGTTTTTAGGATAGGATGACTGGGGACAAGAGATTGCAGCCGAAAAGTGCTAGGCACATTTGTCGACAGAGACTTTGCTCTATCATACTAATCACATAGGTAGTTTTTGTGCGATTTCCTTTAACGTTTTCATATCCTAAAAAATAAAAAAATTGAAAGAACTGGAAATGTAATTTGAGTTTAAAATTTCCAATGGAAGAAAGGCAGCTACACACATAAGCTGTACGTTAGGAGACATCATGTCCCATTGGATAAAATAAAATGAAAGCCATTTGTTTTCGTTTTAAGTTTCTATTGAAACCGAAAGAATTTACTATGATCTCGCATATGTTGCTTTGAAGTTAGAAGCGTTTTGTTTCCTCATCATAATCTCCTATGTAGCGTAGTCGTTAGCTCCCTCCAATACACACGTGGTCCTTGGTTCGATTCCGCACCCGTGTCGCCAAATTGGTAACACACTTCTCTAGAAGGATGTCAGCACTGGCTTGACACACGGGTGAGGCCATCGTAAGTCATTTAGTAGATCAGAAATATATTCAGTCAGCTCTAACGATGTCTCAAAAGACCGACTTTCTATAAACCTCTGCATAAATAATCGATATATTCAGCTACTTGTTCTTACGAAGTGATCTTGTTGACTTTATGCGAGGTTGGTATAGTTCTCGTCGTTGTTGTTGTTGCTGTTGGTCTATGGCTGACGTTTTGGCTATTTCGCCTACCTCAGGGGTGTGGTGTTTCGAGTGTGACGAGACGAGAAAGGAGTCCTACTCTAACGACCAAAGCAACAACAACAGTGTTGACAACTATACCAACCTCGCATCAGCTCAATAAGATTAGTTAAAAAGAACGTGAAAATAAATCTAATGGTGTTTGTCGAAATAGACTGTATGTTGAATCTAAGCATTGATCGACGCCGAACGCTATACTTCATCTTTTGAGACTCCTACAGGGTTACGTCGTCACCTAAGTGTTAATGCAGTAACGCTGAAGATGTATCTTGTGACGCATGCTTGGGGATAAGCAAAGAGGTTGAAGAGTATTGCACCTAGAAGTAGTTTTGTTTTTAATTAATAGCTTATTAAACTTGGATGTCAGGTCATGGACCATCCATGAAAAGCGTTTCTGACACTTTGTACTTCACAAAAACCTTATCACGAGTTCATTTCGTGGTGCGAGATCACTGCTGCTTAAGAGAGTATGGAGCATACAGATTATTGCCAGTGGAGGAGCTCATAAATGTTCCCACTGAAACACTAAAGCAACGCACATCGTTTCGATAAATAAGACGATAAATCACTGAAGAGATGCCTTAAAAACTGTCGCTAATTGAATTTAAAGAAGGATATTTAGCACTTTTCAAGATTACTGAGCTAACACGAGTTAGCCAAAGTTGGTCGTTCTTGCAATGCGGCAGTTGGTTCTCCTATCATGTCGAGCCAAGCGGAGGACAGCTCGAATAAAGAACTGTACTCGGCTATGCGCTTTCATACACACTGGTTGATAATGCCAACCATTTTGTTTTGTTTCTTTGAAAGGAATGCATCCTGCGGCAGCTGGTATTTCATAAGCTCTGACATAGCCCGACAATATCTTAAAAATGCCGCAGAAAATATTGCTGATTCTTGTAGAGTTTTAATAAAAGCTGGTTTTCAAAAGTACCTTTTCAACCCTCTTTTCGACCTTCAACAATGATTTTTTTCCGATTATACGTTCGTGTGCCATTAGGTAGAAGAGAAGAAAACTTGCTCTTCTCGGTGACATCCAGTTCGTCGGCGAATGATAGCAGTTTTCGTTATTGATTTCTCTTTGATTCCGTGGTCAACATCGGTTCCTCTTTTCAATGTGTAAGTATTCGTAATCGCATCAAGTGGAATCGAGTGGATTTAAACACAACACGAATGTTTGTTATAACGACTTCATGTGAGCTTACCGGCGAAGCGTGATATTGATCACCATGCTCTTATTCATTAAAATATTGGTCCTGAAAATATTGCTCTATAATATGCCACCTATATTCCAGCTATTTTTATTCTGACTTTGCACGAAGCCGCGACGAATGCAGATCATATCGGAAGCGCATAGATTGAGAGTCGTTCCGTATCGAGAGGAATAAGCGAGTGCGAATAGTCCATTATTACAGTTCTTCATTCCAATGAAATCAGCTCGGTGCGACAACGAACACCCACATCGCGACAATGACCAGCTGTGGACCATTGACCATGGACTCGGAGCAACCCGGGTGTGAGAATCCCAAAGAGTTGAAACGCCAGCCGAATAAAAGCTGTATAAAAACATCGCATAGGCTTAGAAATCCAAGGAAATATTGTTGAGTAGACATTCCTAGAATAGTGTTTAGCGACGTGGACAGTGAGCTGGTCAGCGTGCTTCAACATGGCTTGTCTTCAAAAACACTTGTCAAATCTTATTACTTCACTAGGATTTACAATTTGCAAGTAAATAAAGTTTTCAAGCCCTAAATAATGCTAAAAACGTATCTATGCTTCCCTAGAGTCAAATTTCCCACTGGAAACTCTCGATTCGCACATCACTATTCTTCTTTCAAGTTTACGTATCGTGGCAAAAATGTGCACTTTGTATAACCAGTACCTATGCATAATAACTAGTGTTGTTCCCAGAAAGACTGCATTTGCTAACTACTATGCTTGCAATGTATTTGCAATCGTAGTGCCATGACATACTTTGTATTTGTAACCTATTTTGTATAGGCTAAATATTTTCGTCACACTGCTAAAAGTTTCCTCAACGGGATGACAAAGCGATGAAGGCATTCTCGTTTCGAGTCCAACGTAGCTCCGTGCCATCTTAAAGCCATGCAGCACGTGCTCACTAAAGATCTGCATTCGTTTATGTCTAGAAAGAACTTTCCCTTGTTGAAGTCTTTAGTAACTTGCTATATTGATGGTTGAGCGAAGAGGCTTGGCCATGAATTGTGGTCGTCATAATAATATCCGTCCTATCATTCCAACCGAAAAGGTAACTCGTAGATAAGCCTTGTCATTTAGACAATGTCACATGTACAGTTATTGATGCGTGGATGTATCACTATCAGTATTTGCCAAAATCCTGTAGGACCAGCCACCTTTAGAATGCGATTTGATTAACTTGAACTTTAGACCTGAATAAAAAGGATAAAGCTTTTGGCGTTGATCAATCTCTGAGAAATGAACCATGCATTCGACTTTATTAAGCATTGCTTGGAGGTGATTTGAATGCATAGAGCCTATAGATGACGAAAGCGGTTCGTCATGTCACGAGCTCTTGAAATTCTGCTTGAACTTTTACTGACAGTCTTGATTACTAATCTATTCGGATACAATCTGTTATTTGCTTCATTGTCGAAATTCCTCTAGCTAATGCTCTTTTAGTCGTATCTCTTTTTCATTGCGTTTTTGTCATACATGGGATACAATAGGAAGGCATGCAGGAGCAAGACCGAGACGCCATTAATCCCACGACTGTTGCGGTCTAACATTGCCTATTGTAAGACAGAGTCCGATGATTATTCATATGTCAACTACACTTGGTTCCCAAATAATCTTCTATCATTCCTGTCTGTTTATCTCTACCACAGTCAGCTCCTAAATGGAGTACACTTATGGAAGTGTTTCGTAGCAACCTGTGAGCTCTGCGCTCGGAAGAAAAGTTACACTGACTGTTATCGAATATTTAGGAGATTCCGCACCACTCTGTGTTTACATCATCATCAACACTTCAGTGTTCTTTGACGGATTAACTTTCTTCTAGATCTCCTAAGAACAGTACAAGAGGATTCGAATTTTTTCCACATCTCCAGTTCATTACGAATTCCGATGAAAGCTCGGAAGATGTTGAACCTTGCTTACCATTCTAAAATGCATTTCAATAAAGGAATACAACGAAGCTTCCTCCATAAATCCGCTGCGACCTCATTGAGCTCGTATAACTGTTGAAGCAACAAAAACGGTTTTCAGAAAAACGAGCATTTTGGTTTGGGCGGCGAGCCATGAGCAGTTCAATATCCATCTTCGGTGATGTCGAGTATTAGCAGATGATGGTACTCACAAATTGGGTATGGCTATCTCTACTGACCTTTTAAATGTGGTGACTGTTCTGTCTACACCTTAGATAACGGACTGTATAGTGGCATGTGGGCATGCGAACGGTATTTTTCTGATCGTTGTCAGTTTAGGCTATGGCGTATCTGTTGGAGGTGACCATGAACAGCTTTTCGTATGTAATAGTTTACATTTGATGAAAGACTTTCAAATGTAACAACGTCGACATGCCGTAGAATACCAGTACATGTATGCTTAAGTGTGGTTACATGTCTGAGTGGTACAACCTTACCAGACTTGGTGCGGCGCAGACAGAAGATCCCCTGAGTAAACATGGCTCTCAAGAAAAATATGGAGTTACTAAATGCGTCCTCTGCAACGCAGGTATATACTATGCTTTGTGGTCAATTTTTTTAGGCTTGATTTTTGCTTTTATTTTAATGTTAACTATTTAGGCAGCATCAAGTGAAGCATGTAAGTTATCTGGAAGTTACGTACGTGTGGTACTCATGTTTCCTAGCAAATGAAGCAAAAAATTTATAATGTTGTTGAGACACCCTCTTTTGACTTGATTCGCTTTTCAAAATTTACCTAAGCTATAGATGCGATACAAAAGTGGTGGAGAGAATTGACAAATGAACTTGCACATCGAGGAGAAATGATTTATTTAACACTCCACTGCTACGCACACGGAGGAGCTCCAGCTGATCCCATGGAAGTTGGCACAATTTTAGGTTGCGGTCTGCCAACACAAGGACGAAGAATTTCAAAAGAGCACTGAAAAACACAGAAGAAGATCATTGATAAACATTGAGAACAATTTCCATTTACTATAACGACTAACTTGTAGATTTTCATCGACAACCATTATTGCGGCAGCGTTATCAAATTGGCCACAATAATGTGGTGCAGAGAAGATGGTCTGAAGAAACTCTGTATTACAACAAAAAATATCGAAAAAAATGTATCGGCTTCAAAGTTTCCTGTATTGCCTGCATCAACAAACATCATCATTCTATCACCTACCCTATCATAAGAGTACACCGCATTTTTATTCTCACATATTGGCCATAGCGTTTGTTGTGCACAAGGAAAACATTTTTTTTCCTTTGTTAAGGATGTTTACCTACGGTTCATCGGTTGCACTTTCCCACTACTCTGCTGGGTTTTGCCATCTACATAGTCTACGTGAAAACGTTGTAGCACGGATTTCTTAGAATGTCAGGGAGATTTTGCTCGATCAACATTCAAGGACATTCATTTGGAAAGGAAAATAATTGAGTGGTAGCCAAAACAGCATATAAAAATTCGAGGAATTCCGTACACGATGGCTACGAGGCAAGGAATCCAGTGCAAGAAGTGCTGGGATCTGCACAGTAGTTGTGAATACAGCTTGTTTAAAGTAAATTTCAAAAAACCTTCCAACGGTTCACCGCCTCATCGTGGTTGGGAGGTGTTCCTGGGTGTCGGACTGCGATGTACAGCGGGTGATTTCCTTTTTTTTTTCCCTGGCAGGGTCTCCCAAGCTGGGAAGGAGCCCGGCGTTTCCATCAGAAAGCCTAGCTAAGGGTAAACCAATACCACGATCCACCACCGTCCTGGTATCGAAGTCGCATGCTAGTAAATCTTCCTCTGATCCACAAGGGCTGCGACTTCCTATGGTCGTGAAGACCTAGGCCAGACTTTGGCCAAGCTGACCTCGGGATTCCAAGGAACCACAATGGCCTAAATCTCCGAAATTGGAGTTTTTGCTGGGGCCCGCACAATAGGTGAGGGCGGACCATTCAAGTATCAAGTAAGTTCAACTACCATGCACAAGGAGACTAGTACCGCTAATTTCTAGTTTTGCCGAAGAAGAGAGCAATTATTTAAATGTAATAGTACTAAAATACATTATTTAGATAAAAAGGGTTGTACTCAAAATTTTCATATATAATCAAGCTAGCACTACGTTGTTTAAAAAAACTTATAAAGTAATATTAGAACATAGTTATACTCAGTTACCACTAATTTTCGACCACCGAAAAATTCGTAGCCATCCTGGACGACTTGGTGAGCTCGAGCAACCTGTGAATATACGGTAATGTTATTAGATTTACGACTGAAACGCCTGACAAAAACACTTCACCAGATCAATGTTGAGTGTATTGCAGAACTTGGCAAGAATATCTGGTCCAAAGCCATACGATGCACCACGCATGTTCGCCTAAGCATTTTCTGCTTTCGTTTCGACCATGTGCAGAAAAAGAAATGGCTTTGTTCAGATCTTCGAAAACGCATTTCACAATATATTTCATACCTAAGATGATCAAGTTAACGGATCAGCTTTATTGGTATCATGCATTTTGTCCTAAAGAAAAAGAGGCGTCGTGGAAAATCAAGTGTTCGGTTTGAGGGAATGTCTTTAAATAGCAAAGGATTGGAGGTTTTGATTAAACTCTGTTGTACAGATGAATCTTATTTCTCAGTAAAACGAAAAGAGAGCTTGACATCACCATCCTTAAGTCAACTCAAGAATAAAACAACGCTTTAATCGTAACCGAAACCTAATCGTAAAGTCCCAACCTCTTTCTGGAATGTCTGACGACTTGGCAAAGTTAGCAACGAAATCTAGTAAGACACCAAGAATGTACTTTGTTAAAAATGTATCTGAGACCGAGGATGGGCTGACACTACATACTTCTTGAAGACAGACTACTCATCGATTTAGAGAAGTGGTCCAATTTTTCATAGATTCGAATACGACTTCAGTGGAAGGAAAAATGGAGTGTAATAAAGTCCAAATCGGCAACATGGATTCTTCTCATAAAAAGCCCAATAGTTTCATTCAGAAGAAGTTTGAAAAACTACTATTCTCAAGTGAGTTTTCTTCGACGTATGCAAGGAGAGCAACTATCCGAAGTGTTACCTGAAATCCGCTGAGACCAATTACTGGATCAGCCCAGAGCAGGTCCATTTCCAGTGTTTGTCCAGTTGCTTCAGTTGGTCTACAAAACCTTTTTTCTCTCCAGTAAAGCCAGCTTTATGCCTATACAACATGGTAACTTGGGTTCATGGTATTTCCGAACGTTCAGATATTTTAATGATTTCGAAGTTGTATTTATTGAGATTTCCTATATTGAAGCAATATGACAATGCTTTAAAGACAGAAGCTGGGCTTTAACTAGTAACCGAAAAACCACCGTTTTCAGTTGTTTGAAAATGACGGGAAATAACAGCGTTCAGCAATTTGAATTGCTCAAGCGAGATTTGCACTGTATTCTATGACAGTGAGTGTTCTTGAACCAGTGACACTATTCTTCAGTTCTCGGCTGGGACATTAGGTTGTTGGGAAATTAATACAGGTTTCGTATTTCCATTCTTCTTGTATGTTTTTAAGTAACAATTCCTTTTTTCCTTGGTTGTTGCACTGTTACATATCATTGCTAAGCCTATTTTTTATTTCAATTCGTACATCTTCACTCTGCGTGATTTAAATGTGGTGTAAATCGTGTAGTATTTTTAACACATTTTGCAGGTTAGAAACTGAGACCTCAAAGCAGCGCTTTCGACGAATCCACCTTTACAGGTTCAAACTGCGTCGTGGTGTAGTGCACACTGTTCGAAACATTAATGAGGTGTAGGGGTAAGAAAGTGTTTAACGAGTGCATACGGCAACGTTGGTTCTGAAAATTTTGTCTTGGTGAGTTTAATCTCGAAGATGAGGGATGTCATAGACGTTCTCCTGCTTTTGGAGACAATAAGTTGAAGGTTCTGGTGAGTTCACGCGTATGCCCAACTTTCTGAGAATTTGCAGAAGAACTCGATGTAAGCAGCTCAACCGTTTCTGAGCATTTGAGGAAAACTGGAAAATTCAAAAAGCTCGAAAATGGATGTCGCACGATTAGAACGGTTTCTCTTCTTGTTAACACGATAACGCGCTGTCTACCAACGTCGCAGATTGAGCGGGCCGGATTATGAACACCTCTCTCATCCATCATACTCGCAGAACCTCTCGTATGCCGAGTACTACTTCTTCAAGCATTTCGACAACTTTCTATGTAAAAATTCTTTCAGAAAAGAAGCAGGGCTGAAACTATGTTTAACAACTTCATTGTCCCCAAACCTCTAGTGTTGCATTCAGCCGGAATGAATAAATATTTTTCTTGCTGGCAAAATGTGTAGATTCCAACGCCTTTTATTTTTAATATTATGCTTATTCTATGCTGAGGAGTGCCATTTAAAATTCGACTGCAAAAATCCTAAATTAATTCCCGAATAGGCAATGATGTGAAATATTTTTCAGCAATATTAGCCACCCAGGATACGTGCTTCAGCGTAGTGGCTAGAGGTGCTTCCCGTCAGGCTCACCAAGTCTTTCATCTATCCGGCATCAACAAATTGGTACTGATTCGTGTGGTATGATAGCATCACTGGATCGACACATCAGTAGGGCGTCGTGAGTCATTGTAGAGCCCAAACATGAATTCAGTTACTTCTAACGATTCTTTACCTTCATGATTATTAAAGGCCAGTTAGAATGGTTTGGTGACCAAATGATGATCAACTTAGCTACAACTTAAGTTTTTACTTGCGTTGTGAAAAGGTGATTATGAACATGTGGTTTGATGGCGTCGTGAAGGAACTGAGAAAAGCTGGATATTTCGAAATGACTTCAAGAAAATGTGTGCGATATTGCAGAGGTGATGTGGAGATAGGTACAATGTTGTCGGCTTAGAACTGAGTCATATGTCAAATAGCTACGACACGACATACCGTGGTATGTTCCTGAGTTGTTCAAGTGATTCGAGATGAGGAGACAATCCGCCATGCATGCAAAGAATCTTGTCAGCCACGAGAGCTGTGAGAGGCATGACGGAGAACGTGTCCTGTAAGCAATTCAATTTTAAATAATAAGTGAGCGTTTCTGTTTTGGTTTTCTAGAACGACTGTTCACGTTTTGCTACTTCCAAACTTTTCACAACAATAAATTCTGGAGAAAATCAATGACAAAGCCCAAATAACAAGCAAGCACCGTATTGACACTCGGAAAGCGTTACTGTCTCCTTTGTCAATTCTGAATTTTACTGTTGGATTAGATCATTTATAGATTTGGTTGGAAGTGAAATGTTTTGCACCTGAAACGACTGCCACATTCTTTGGCTTTGATACCTTCGCATGCACTCCTCGTAAAATCCGTACGTTCGATTCACGTTCGCACATTCATGATTACCTCGTAAAGCGAAAAAATTCTTTGGGAATCTGAGCTGAAAGTAAAAGTTCCTTTACTCAATCTAAGGCCCAATAGTTATTTAGTTGGGCTGGAGGTGAAGTTTGGGAGTTGGGGCTTATCGGCAATGCTATGAACAGAGTTGCAAAGTTGCAAAATGTTTCTAAGAGCTATCACTAACACATTTTATAAGTGAGATCGAATACAGACAGAAGTCTTGCCTTGTATGCAATGATCAGCAGTATCACCTCAAGATTTTGCTTTCCTCTGTCCACGTAATCACCCAAAAACAAGTAGTTAGATAAAGGAGGAAATCCGCCCTAAAGTTGAGAAAATAAATGTTCGAAAAATAGTAATGGCATGCAAAAACTGCTACCGAAGAAGTTCCAGGGCTTTACTTTTGCAGATCCAGATTTTTGTAGTATATATTCCTTTGCTTACATTATGCTTTTCGTTCTACTTAACAAAACCTTTTTAATCTTAACTCTTTTATTTACTGCCTTTTTCCTCTTAATGGCAGGGTATGTTGTGAAATATAACTCGTATGAAATGCTGAAATATTTGCAAAACTACGGACCACAGGTGTATGCAGTGGGGAACGAACACGCGCTGTTGTCCTTACCGGGGAGCAACGCACTTCACCACTACACCATCCGGGTCCTACCCCTTGTATGTATCTCAGCTAGTTCTATCTAGAACTATCTATCTATCTAGAATTAGCTGAGATACTTGCAAGGCGAAGGACCCGGATGGTGTAGTGGTGAAGTGGGCTGCTCCCCGGTAAGGACAACAGCGCGTGTTCGTTCCCCACTGCATACACCTGTGGTCCGTAGTTTTGCAAATATTTCAGCATTTCATACGAGTTATATTTCACAAAAAACCTTTTTATTTTACTTGTAGTGTAGAGCTCAGTGAAAGAGCTCATTTCGCAGTTTCCTTAGCTTCGGTTAAGAGTAGATCTGAGTGCGAATACTATTCTTACAGCAAGAAGTGATACTATCGAAACAATAATACCATAGTCTCTGAGAAAAGATATGCTTTTAAAAGTTAGCTGTCTGGTTAAAAGCGAAATTGCAAATGAAACATTATGGTACGATATCGTCTCCATCGCCAACCCCCTACCTTCTGCCAAAAATTCGACTGAGCGTAAGACAATTTCAGTAATCACTTCCGTATTGATATTAACCACTTCAAGGAGCGATAGAATGCTATCTCGAGAGTTCAAGAAAAAAAATCCCATGCCAGTTATCATTTAAGAAAAAAGCCATGTCGGAGTAGGCATGATTTTTTGCGATGTCTTACCATACAAAAATCCGTACCTGCACTACAATGACCAGTGCAATATCCAGTCTTTGCTTTTCTTAGGGTTTGCATGCTCTATGGCAACACAACACCAAAACGTGTGCGGTGGTTATAAAACCACAGCCATGAAGATTTGACAAGCACTTAACCCGACAAAACATGAGTCTTAAGGCCATCACACATTCTTAAAGAGTGAACATTTCTGGAAGACCGAAGGCCTCTTTGCGATCATGTAAGCTGCAAACGAAGGACCCGTCCTCTCTTCGTGAACACAGCGGTTTGCTTGCTTATCACCGTTGAAGTGGATACCCCTGAAGTGTTTTCACCTGACCAAAGAATCAGTGATTACTACGTGTTTTGAACTGGTCGAAGGTATCATCCACAAAGCCTCTACTAAAATCAGCCGTTACTGGTTTCCTATTCACGTTCAGTCTGGTTAAGAAAACTGAAGATACTCATGGTAGCGCACTAATCGCAAGCGACAATTAACTTCTTAAACCTTGTTTGGAAACCTCTTTGCCCATTGTTCACGCAGGAAGTAGGTTGAATGAAAGTAGTAAAATTCCAAGAACCTCATTACTGTTTCCTCTTATCTTTATTTTCAGAAATTCGTTCAATATGTTCAGAGGCTGCTTTTAAGTAAATGTTATTAAGGTCTTTTGCCTGAATTTATCAGTTCTACTGCACCTTGTAGAACAGCCGAAGGAGGTCGGAATACTGACCATGGGTATCTCCACATATCTTGACTGGTGAGTCGAGCTCAACCATAGATGGTTGAGAAAGGAATAATTCTCGTGCCTTTTCTGTAATGATTTACAAATTTTTTTCCGCCTTTTTCGTTTCTTTATTCAAAACATTAAGGTTCTTGCTTCGCATTCAATAAAGAGTATACCTTTGCCAGCATTGATCTTGTGGATTTATCGTGAGTAGTCCTCATGAGAAGCAGTTTTTGAGCTGATCAAACTTGCGTACCCCTAATTCGAAGCTAATGAGTTAAGGTAGTTATGCTAGCAGCAAATTGCTGATTAAGGCGTTGTGATTTTCACTTTCTAAGGTTTGAAGTGCAATTTTTTGAATGCGACTACCAGAACCTGGGGAAAAATTCTGCTTATGCTAACTTGGTCGGTGCGAAAACGCTCTTCTGAAGTCTTTTAAATGATTGATTTTTTGCCTCAATTTTTAATTGTTCTGCTTGTAAATCTGTGTCTTATTTCAGCCTACTCGTATGAAAGCGCTTAAACATGGAACGACTGGCGGCGCATAAATGATCCATGGTTGCAATTTTATACTGTAATTTGTCTTATCCAGACTCAAGTAACTTAGTAGTTTGATGAGGCGAGGAGGCCAGCAATACACGTGAATTCGTTTTCGCGTCTCAAGCCCACCTAGCCTTATATGTTTCGGGGGTCGGCAAGTTGCTACCAAACCTGTCTGTGAAGAGAGCAACACTGACTCGATACACCGCTAGGCCTCTATGAATCATTAAATAGTGCAGATATGCATTCAACCACTTCTAGCGATGCTTAGTAAAGTCGAATGCACGGGACGAGCGCATCCCTCAGGGATTGATCAACTCCGAGTGCTTTACCCTTTATTTACCCTCAATTTCCCTTGCCCGCCAGGTCGTTGCTACACCGAATGTTCTCAAGTTAGCGACGGAACGGAACGAGCAAGATGAAGGAACATTTGTTAAAGCAAGTTGATTCTCGCCGGGACGGAGCTATGGTCATCGTTAACCACAACAGACTTGTCTTTTTTGAGCTAATGAACTGCACATTTAGAATGGACTGATTAACAAGGCTACAGATTATCAGTTGCAGTAAAGAACCGTGTAAAAATGTGATAAGCAAAAGATTTATAAATTTTCACAAAATTATATTTTATAAGATTTTCGTCAATGATCTGCCAGAGTTAAATATGGATTTGAACCTCATCTCCAAATTTATCTACAGCAGTTATATTGCTACGTTGGAAAAAATTCGTGAACCGTTCGTTGATGGCATTCGTCCCTTAGGCATCCCTTAGACATTCGCCGCAATTTCGACTTTATTAAACCTCACCCAGGAGATTGAATGAATGCATATTCTATTCACATAGCATAGTGACATCTGGAGGCTTATAAAACTAACAAGTCGGTATGTTAAATAAGAAAAAATATGCACCAAGTCAGTGTTTTCTTATCCCTCAGAAAAGTCTGATGCCAATTTGTCGAACTCTAGACGGATTGATATTTCGGTGAGCTCTTGGCACGATGTCAAAGAGAAGAACCTTTGGCTCTTCCTGACACCTCTAAACGACTAAAAGACGCCTTTTTCGTTTATACATGCAGAAAAATGTCGCAACAAGAAATTCAAAGTAACTCGTGCTCAGAAAGGACTTCTTTTCTCGCCATAGTGGCTGAGTTCAGTCAGAAAGATTAATGTCAGCTTTAAATGAGAAGCTTTTTCTCACTTAGGGTATCCATAATATCATTCTCAGAAACTGTTTTCGTCAGTCCTTTATCTGGATTTCCAACGCTGAGAAGGTTAGTGATCAACTGAGTAGGCTCCATTGCTAAAATCACAATAGTCTTCTTGTGAAAAATGGAATAGAAAGAGAACGCGTTTTCTAAAATTTTTGCTTACTTTCTTTCTCGATATGTTGTTGTCGAACTGCTTCTCGTCAACGAAGAAAATAAAGTAAGGTAAGCGATATTAAGAAATGAGTTTGAAAACAATGGTATTTTTCTTTGATATCGCATTTGAGTGGTAGTCATTTGTTATTTCCACTAAACAGGATACGGTTGAAGCGATGAAAATAACACTTCGTAGGTTGTTCTAATATCCCATACTATAACCCTACTCTAACAGGTTTTGTCGAAGCCCGATGAACAGCGTGGTTTGTCCTTTAGTAGCTTCCTCCAATTTAGTAGTTCGAAATTTCCATGTGGCAGCCCAGCATAGCTTAAGCCGCTGCTGAAAGTCTCTGCAACCCCTGGCTGGCAACGAAGTAATAGGCGGTTGGAAACTAGTGAAAACCTGGGAGAGTTCTAACATGCCTTTCCACGGAAATAAAACATTGTCCAAGCAGTAAATTATTAGTTAAATGTGTGCTAATCGGCCAGTGGATTAGGGTGTTCATCGGATTTGTCTTTTGTCCACCAACTGTACGTGGAATGCTCGACTTTATATGAATTTGCCACGCGGGACTTTTCTCCGTAACTGCCTTGAACAAACTCGAGTTTAGGTTATAATAGCTTATAGCAACAACAACGATGCAATAATAACGTGTGATATTTGTCGATATGTAAGCTGGGTGGATGCGAGCGAGTTTGAAATGAGAGCAAGTGATACACTTGAAGGAAGCTAGGCGGACACTGGAGTTGGAGCACTGAGGAATTGAAGGACTGGAAGATAAGCACTGGAGGCTGGAACCCGGGCACTGGTAGATTGGAAGACAGACACTAGTCTCTATGACTGCTGGTGCTCCTTATATTCTGTAATGGCTGGGGTTTTACAGAGGGAGTCAGAGATAGTGCTGATTCGAGGCATGACACGGTACATGCGGAGAAGTACATCAGACAAGACGGTATGCCAGAGGCCTCGTCAACATAGAACTTTATCAGACAGCGAAGGAATAGCTCGTACGGGAAGGTTATATGAAAAGCCACGCAAAGGCTTATCAAAAGGTCATGTAAAAGCGATGAAATAGCTTGTGCAAAGGCTTCTACTGAAAGTACATGTCCAAACGGTCTAAAGAGATTATGAATGGTTAGGATTAAGATAGTTATAAGTAAATAGTTAGTATAGGAAACACGTGATATTATAAAGAAGAGAAAATATTTAAGAAATGGTAACTATAAAATGGAAATTTTATTAGAGGCTCTACGATTCTTCGTGATTTCAAGTACCATTCAGAATGAATATTACACGACTGTTCTCTAATCCTAATCCTATCAGGTCTAATCTTTCCCACAGTCTCCTAAAATCGTCGTGATTTTTTACTTCAGCACTGAATGATCTGTTGTCCACTTGCTCATTCTGAAATAAATGCGGGCTTTCAGTGGTTTTCTTTCATTCTAAATGCATGACATCGCGTATTGTGTCATTCCCAGTAGTTCTCTATTTCGATTCTTTTCCTTGCGCCGATAATCCACTGCGTTCTTCCGATATGTTTGCGGGATCACTTGTTGCTTAAAGGATTAGGTCTCCTTTGCGAATGTTTTTGAGTAGGTTTGGATTTCTGGTCGAGTAGATTGCCCTGAAATTCCAGAATAGTCGTATTAGACCCTTCCTAGGTTCTGCCTAAAACGGTTGGCTGTTCTTTAGACTGGACGAAAATCATCCCAGATAAGGCTGGCACCAATACATCGACCCTGAAATGATTAAAAAATTCGCTGGTCTATGGCAAGATCGAACCAAAGCCGTGTCGTACTACTGGATGCCATCGGTGCCACTGCCCTACCTGAGTCCTTTTAGGGTATTTATACATGAAGAAATCTTAAATTACTAGTTTAATTTCTTCGAAAAACAATTTCTTATGAAACTTGCTGCAATAAAGGATAAAGCTCTCAGCGTTGATCAATCGCTGAGGGATGGGCCATGCATTCGACTTCACTAGGCATTGTTGAAGGTGATTGAATGCATCTCTAGCCTTTACAATGACTCACTGCGGCCTACGATGTATCGATCCAGTGCTACTATCTTCCCAAACAAGTCTAGTGCCAATTTGCCTACTCCGGAGGGATGGAGGGCTTAGTGAGTCTCAGGAGCGAGGATCGGTCCCACATGTGTGTCGCAGGGCGCCACCGACCACTGCGTCACACGCGCCACAGTGACAAAAATAAGGCCAAAATCCCTACTGGTCGCAGTTTCTCAGTGTTATGCAGTAAAGAGAGAGATTTCCCATAAGGGATATTGAAATGTTTTCAGTACGTCAGAGTTGAAAGCTCAAGGAATTGAACTGAGTTAAACAGTTACACGACCCACAAAGCTTCGTACAACATTGGTCCAACTGGCGACAACTGCGGAAGTACTAGTAAGAAACAAACAGGAAGTCAAACAATGTTAATGAGACAAGCGTGGAAGACCGCATTTCATTTCAACCGATCTGGTAAATAACTCCCATGATAGACTGAAAAGGTGGTCAAATGACTACAAATAAGCAGGCACCACATTGAATCATTCGATGGGAGCATGGAAGTGGGAGATTAAAATAAAAGTTCAAAACGCAAAGCAATCACTTAACAAGAACGTATTTGATGTTGTTAGCAGTACTGGTAAGGTGTGGATATTCTGTTATTTCCTTAATCGTGTGATCTGACTCCTAATATTTTTTCGATTCCAGTACTTTTCACACGTTTCCCTACTTTGCATACATACATGCATACACGACGGTTTTGGAAATCGGTGCTGGTTCCGCTGCTATTTCAGTGCTTTGCTTCTTTATGAATTTCATTGAACGCCGGCCAAGATTACTCACTGAATTTTTTCCGAGTTGTCACTTCCACAACGTTTCCAGATTTTCACTATAGGGCAAGACGCCGGTCCTTGCTAGTAGTGCTTAGGGCTCTTTCCTATTGCTAGATGGTGACCGAATAGTTTGATGGGAAATAAATTCGAGCAAGTGAATGTTTTTTAGAATAAATTTTTTTTGACCGATGGTACCTATGTGCGGAACCCACGGAGATAACTAGGTAACTAAACTGATCAAACTCATCACACAATTTCTCTTCTACCGAGAATATCTGTGCTTGTTATAAACAATAAAAATCGACCTCCCTTAGACACAATAAAACCTTTCCAGAAGAGAACAAATTTTTAGGGGTGCTTCTGATGCCCTTTGCTTTCATAGCAGTTCATTCGTCCAATTGTCGTGTAGATGATAATCAAAATATTACGAAGGTAAGTTTAAGTTTCCTACATTTTCGAATATTTTCTTCACTGATGAGATAAAAATAAAAAAAACCAAAAGCAAGAACGCAAGTTGGATCCAGCACTCTTCAAACAATGAAGTTTCACAAAGCACCCTGCGAGATACACTACTGAATTTTACCTAGCAAATTGACAGGTGATTTTTTTGGATATTTGCATACTAGTAAAGCTGCCTGTAAGCGATGTGCGTTGAGTTTCAGTAGAGCAATGATGCTACATTTATATATACTTAACGAGGTCATAGAAATAGTCACAAAAGGCAGTGTTTGTAGCTACTATGTAGAAATCGCTTAGCAAAAAGATATGATGATTTTTTAGAATTCACTTCACTTTAATCTATTTGAATATTAGGATGGCCCAGTTGCACAAAGAGCTCGAGTTCCAGTAGATTTTTCATACGTTGCGTGGACATCGATCATGGTGGTGGCCTGCTTTGAACCTGATTGAACCTGACGCCGTCTGTAGACATTCGGAGATTTGTTAATTCCTTCCACCTGCGAAAATAAATGATAGACCTAACCCACAAACACGTCGGTTCATTGTCTGGATAGTAGCCGCCCTACACTTTGACTCACCAGTTTATCTTCCGAACCATATTCTCTTAGATCTCTATTATGGGATGACCCTTGAAGACTTGAACAGCGTAGTTCGAATTAGTGTTACGTGTGGTGGTTATATCTCAGAAGACATCATTAAAGAGCTCTGGAAGTTATGCGCAGACCTCCAGCGTGGTAACAGAGTGCAAACCACGTCTCAGCTTCGAGAGCACTATTGAGTTATAAAGATGGGCTCCAAATCATGGTCTATTAGTTGATCTTTCGCTTCTTTGAAGAAACTAAACTTTGTCCGACTTTTTCTTCTGAATAATTATTCCGTATTTCGAGGCACATTTGCGATAGTCTCTATAACGAGGAAAGCATCCACTTCGACTTTTTGCCTTAGTACCACTAGTTTGTGACGAATTGCATTTTTCATTGTCCGACCGATCCAGCTCTTATTTAAGCCATCTTGAAATTCTTGAGCATTTCGGCTGTTTTACCGCCACATCGTTGACACTGCCGTTGGGAAAACGATGGTTTATCCAAAACTTGGTGTAAAGACTTAATCGTCCTCATAGAATGGCTTGATTATATACTACAACGCGGCGAAATTTTCGGAGAGGTATAGTCACATTGTCTGGTGCTTTTTCTTATGGAAATGGTTAGTATGTCGGCAAAGGAGCTTTACTGTTCCGTAGCACTTGCACTAGAAGTCAGTCGAACTTCTTTTACAGGACAAGTTCACTCCACAGTCAGTGAATGCTGGTAAGTTTTCTGGTTAAAAATTGTCGACCTGTTTGTAATCGACAAAGATTAGTACAAGAAAAAAGTGGCATTCTCGACAGATTTCGTAGTTCTACTTACAGTTTGGATGTTGTCCATGCAAATGAGTCCCTGTTGTGTTTTTCTTTGGTTGCATTGCTGAGTTTGATTCAAAAATCTCGATGTGCAAGGATAATCTTCGTGATGGGTTTGTACAGAACCCTCAGCAATTCAACCGTTAGACATCGCTTTGGTCACCCTTTATGGATACGATTACTGCGAGCGAAGGTCTTCGCTCAGGAAAGGAATCCATTCCTTTTGAACACAAGCTCTCATAT